CAGAGTTGTCCTCACACAAGACGGATCTGAAGGCGAAAGAATCTGATGACGAATGTGAAAACGCACAAGGGCAAGATCAAAGCAGAGAGCATAATAAAAGAAATTGAGGGAAGGGTTGAATTAAATGGAGCAGATGGATCCAGTATCTCAAAAAGAACAGGAAAAGCGCGGTTTTCTGCTGAGACTGAGATATTATTGTACCAATCAGTGAAATTGCCCTCAAATTGCTGCATGTTCACTGTTTCTCTCTGCTCTTTTTTCTTTCTTGAAAAACAGAATGTTTTCTGTCAAACAAATAGTCAAAACGTGTCTCTTTACATACAGTGTGTGGTCAGTAGTGCAGTGTGTTTCCCTGCACTGAACAGACATTCAGAAAATAGCTTGCAAACACCCACACTAGATGTCTCTTCTTAAATACAGTGCACACAAAGAAAAGGATATGAATGAAAAAAAGGCTTTAGAAATACAAGATGAGCCTTAAATTCTGTAAATGCTTCAAAATAATTCGATATGACACGCAGGGTCGTCGTTTAAACCAGGACAATCAAACTAATTGCAGAAACGTGTGTGGAGTGTATAAATGTCTATACAGTATTCATGGCATAACACTTTCTTTCCACTGCAGGAATCCCCTGCCTACGCACATTCATCCAAAACAACCGCCTAGCAAATCTTTTGAACCCGTCTCCATGCTGAGAAGTTTAGCGGGTGATTTTTATTTTTTGGGGGGAAACACATCAAAGCTGCGCAGCTTTATCTGTGTATCCAGTACCTCCAATGAGACAACTAGAGCAGTTGTGAGCAGATATACAACTTTACACGTAAATTTCAGGAGGAATATAAAGTGAAAGAGAGGGAAAACTATCTTTTTTCTTGAGGTATTATCCACCTCGTTAGTGCGTAGCCTAATTGCAGCTCTTAAGTCACACTGAGAGTATTTCTTTCATCACCGATTCATTCATCAGGACATTGTCAGGGTGCAAATTATTCATTGGCAACGTTCTGACAGAAATTTCTTGGAATCTTTTTAAGGTTTGCCTTGTGCGATCCAAATTGTCAGTTGGCGCCCTTTGTACTGTCATTTAGCTGACGATTTCCTAAAGACGTTTTAGCACTAAAGAATTCGTTAGACCTACTCTAAGTTTAGCTCATGTAAATATTAAAGTGTAGTAGTTGACCCTGAAAGCAGCACCTCTGAATTCTACAGTATTGCTTGGTGATGCAGTAGGCCATGGGTCTCAAACTCAAATTGGTGGGGGGCCATTTCAGTGATAATTCCAACACAATCAATTGGCAATTCGTATTTTTTAAATTCTAGTTCGTACAATTTAGTACGATTTGCTCATCCCCCAATGACGGTCGGGTTTAGGGGTTATGTGCCAGGCCTCCTTTTTAAAATCGTACAATTTCATACGGCTGAACTGGAATTCGTATAAATTAGCCACTAAACTGCAACGTAAAATACGTTTTCTCATGAGATCAGGCTGAAGGTCGCTTTAACATTCAAGCACATGAAAAAAGTGGAAACCTGACATAATGGATGCTTCTTTATTAGACACGATGTTTATATTTTAAAAATTACCTGTCATAATGCAAATCAGCACGTTTATTGTGTCACACATCAGCTGCTGAAATATATTTGTTGTTGTTGTGTGTATGACCGAGCGTTAAACACACACTCCGTCATTCTTCCACCGAGTATATGTAGTCAAATCTCGAGCTTTTTGTTTCTTGTTGTACATATTGAAGGGGTTGTTTAAACTGCAATGAAAATACTACAAATAATAGGCATAATAATTTTTATTCTGTCCCAACCAATTGTATTGTCCCAGTAGCGTAAGAACAGCAAGCAGTTTGAGTAACTTTTGTGACTTTACTGGCAATTGTTCTTCTTAATATTTTTCTTTTTTTGTAAAACTACAACAAAGAGAAGGAAAAAGTATGTACATATTCACATTTACTTGATGTCACGATTTAGTGTGGTCAAAACAAGAAACAAAAAGGTGCGGATCCAAGTGCAGATTATTTATTGACAGTGCAACAAACAAGGTGATCAGAATACAAAGTAACAAAAAATAAACGACAAAACCAGAAACTAAATCAGAGACGAGGCTCAGGAATAACTAACTTAAACATCTAAACTTAACTAGAAAACAGACGAGACAAATAACACACGAACTAGACTAAGGCAAAATACAAGAACAAGATCAGAATAACAAACTCGGAATACTAGACTTACTGGATACTCGGACAAGGAAGACAACAACGCGATAACAAACAACGGTGGAATGATGGAATATATAGTCCAGATAATCAACGGTAACACAGAACAGATGTGATGACAGGTCAGTGTATGTGTTCCGGTGTATGCGCGTGGTATGTATGGAATTGTAGTCTTTCTGGGACGCTGTAGTGCCTTCTGAGTCCTGATGCACTACAGCGCCCTCAAGTGGTTACTGACGGATGTGACACTTGATCAATTTCACTTGATCCAGCTGTACAATTTCACTAATGTTCATAGTTTTTATGCAAATCTTAATAAGCATATGAGGAAAATCTATTAAATGAGACCATTTGAATCGAATATTAGCATAATTATCATATTTTTTTACACCATTAGCATAACGTGTAAGCCATGAAGAAGCATTTGTACAACAAAATACAAGCTGATAATAATCAAACGACCCTTCAATGTTTACACATATTTGTAAATATTCAAGGGTCGTTTGATTATTATCAGCCTTAGTAGAAAGTGAAAGTAAAACTAATCTGAATGCAGTACTTTAAATGTCGACTAGGTGGCGGGTCAAAACCACAAGTGGCAAGACGCGGCTGCACAACAATGATAGTGGTTCAAAAACATATGTTTTAGCGGGCCGAATTTTGCATTATTTTTGGCATCAGAGGGAAGAGGAGGGCAGGCAATAAAACGAAAGCGAGCATTACGTTAGTTACCTTTTAACGATCTTTATTATTGTATTAAAATGCAAACTAAACATTATTTTGAATTAAGGTTAAGGTGCACGCTAATCAACTTTAACAACAACATGATTCACAAGAGTTCATGTGTAAATGAGGGCTAACTTTATTACTTGTTAGTACATGTGTTAATTAATGCATTAATTAACATTTAAGGTTAGGCTAAATGTAAGCAACATGAACATGAACTTTGCTAATTGCTAATGTATAATTATGTCATGACTAGGCCCACACGAAATCTATATGCGTAGAAATCTGCAGATTTTCAGCCCATCATTGAGTCTATTTATCTAGTTGTGTGTAAATTTACATTTATTTATTTATTTATTTATTTTTATTAATTTCAGTAATATCACTGTGTCACAATCAACAGTGATCCAACCATCATAGATTGCTGAAGGACATTCACATTCACATGAACTACAATCCTGCATTTATATGAACTACAAGTCCTGTCATGCAACACACACACACATACACCTGCTCCAGGTCTCTATTGATTACACTCCCACATCTGATGCTGCCATGGCTGATTAACTTTCACATATTTTCGCCTCTCTTTCACACTCACTGAGTCTTGTTAAACTGTATTGTGAACATTATGACGCATTTCCCTTTTCTTGTCTTGCCATATACCAATCTTTGCTTTGTTTTGTTTGTTTGTTTACATTGTCTGCTGCCTACCTTTTGGCAAACTGACTGTTTATTGACAACAACTCTGCATTTGCCTGTATACATCTGTTTGCCCTTGCTTTGACCATTGCTTGCCTGACCATTCTCTTAAAAAACCTACATTTGTATCCACACTCCATTGTCAGCGTCCCACTTCATGTTACAGACTAATATGAAAATGTTTATATGATTTACTTACAATACATTTGTAAAGTAATAATTTCTGTCCTTTTGGAGATGTTTGGGGGAAAATTATAGACTTGCCTTGTTTACCAAATAAATGGATCTAATAACATTAAATAAACATTAAAAAATATTATTTTTTATTGAACATTAAGTTTTTAGTTACAATACACCTAAAATTAGTCAGCATAAATCCACAGATTTTTCATATTCTGTGTAGAAATTGCAAAAATTGTCTGCAGATTCGTTCTGGCTCTAGACATGACTTTGCTTGAAGGGGCACATTATCCTTAACTCCTCCTTAACTACTCATGAACTCGTGTTTAAACTGTTCATGTTGTTTACAGAACACTTTTCTTTTGTTGTAAATGCACTAGATGGACATGCATAAGGAGTTCATGAGTAGTTAAGAATAAGTTATATTGATGAGCCCCTCCAAGTAAAGTCATGATATAATTATATTTATTAACAGGTCATGAGTTTATGATGGTTAATGTAAGCATAAACGAATGTGGTAATTAATACTTTTATCAACAAACAATCATGTACTTTCAAGTAATTAAGGTAGCGGTTATTAACACAGGAATAACTCATGTTAGTTAGTTCATAATTAGCGCACACATTAACTCATCATTAGTGCATAATAAAGTATTTCTTTAGCACATTATTGTTCATGTACTGCTAGTGTAAAGTGTTACCAATAATTCTAATTGACAGTGTTCGAACTTCATAATGTTGTTATTAGATAGCCTTAGAAGGAAACTTTTGGTACATTTACAGTATGGGCCTATTAGCCAATTAAGTTTGTAATTTTGTTTGAATTAACAATTTTAACCAGATATATAGCATATTTGTAGCCCATATATTAATCCAGAGATATTGACGGGTTTGGGGGCTTAATGTGGACCCCTCAATACTGAACACTACAAACCCCAAAATCTACTAGTTAAAATGGTTATTAAAAAAAAAGCATAATCACACATCAGAAAAGTACAGGATACTACAGAGAATAACTGAATGACTTTCTAAAAATGTCTTCCCTTCATTTAGCCTGTTATTAAAATATTATATTGTAATAAATATTATAACATAATTTATCTGTATCAATTACTCTAATTCATTCATTAAATCAACCATTCAATCGTTAATTTAATGACAAGTTCAATAAGGCAAAGACTTAAAGAACTTTGGACGTAAAGTTATTAATTTGCTAATCGTCATGAAGCGGGTTTCCACCCCGCCACTGGATTGCGCAAAAGTGCACCATCTCTCTCGTTCGTCTGAAGGAGTGTTTCTGCTGTAGGTGGTGGCATTCAATTCACTTTGCTGTCAGCAGATGCTGGGTTCATTTCTCAGTGCAAACATGGAGCTGGATAAAACCACCGGAGGCGCGGGATCAGCGCACGTTGAGCTTCACGCACTGAGAAACCACTGAGCAGAGCATCCGTGAACACTGTCAGCCTATACACACACGTGTTGTAGAAACTCAAAATGTGGATTATACTAGTGTGGATATCTGTCCAAGTTTTGCTGGGTACTTCAGTCGAAGCACAGGTAAGATAAATCATTTCATCCTCACATCACTTTTATGTAAATATTAAGGCATTAAGGATGTATAAATAATTATTCAGACAGATCTAATTGTTTCGATTTCTGTCAAATTTATAGTGAATGTAAACGACGTCACCCGTCGTAGCCAGTTTAATTCAGTTATATGAATTAATATCTAAACGTAGATATCTACCACATAAATTGTGAAGTCAACATATGCAATGATTTATCTGGAAATAAACAGCTGTATTTACTATTGCTGAAATATGTTCATTTAAATAGGTTTATTAATTATTTTATGATTTATTTTATTTTTTTAAAAGTTGCAATTTATTGAGCTATGCTTGAGACTTTTACACCATAGGACAGCTTTGATATTTGAAAAAAAAAAAAAAAAAGCTAACATAGCAGATTTTTAACTGCAGTCGGAAGGGCATCACCGAATAAAACATTTTCAGAGTAATTAGTGGTTCGTTCCGCTGTGGCGACCCCTGATAAATCAGGAACTTACCCTATAGTGAGTGAGTACAACGTGTGGTCCATGGATGACAAAGTAACGTTTAACAATTTACGCATTTTAAATGACGACCATACTAATTACATTGCTTTTTAAAATTAAGTCACGTCAACACCCCCTATGTTTTACAATTAATCATGCAGTTAAATTGTCCCTTTGTGGCTACATGACATCTCCTAATCGTCTGATTTAAGAACTAATCCACTCTCACACAATCAATGTCTCGGTTTTTTTTCCACCGTTTCTGGGCAGCATGTGGACCCTGAAGTGGGCTTAACAGCTCAGGAACAAGTTCTCCTGCTGTACGACATCAAACTACAGTGCCTTCAAAACATCTCTGAACACAACCCTGCTGGTAAGATCTCACCTGTGGATTCTGCTTGATGCCTTTTCATTTAAAAAACCCGATGTTATTTTGATGTTCAGTCCAATTTGCATAACTGACAGAAATATGGGGGATCAAGATGAAAATGACTCACAGTGAAACGCATTAATACCATTAGTTCATTAGTTTAAAAGCCTGAATTCTGATGCACAATCCGTGGAGGAGAATGTAACATTATTATTGGGTTTAGAGGACTTAACTATCAAAAAGATCTGCTAGTGGAAAGGTCCAGTATCCGCTTTAATCTCCCACCTTTTTTTGTGTTTTTTATCTCACTTCAGTCCAAGTGACTTTGTCCGTTTTGCTTTTGAGTCTTAATTTAGATGCTGAGTTACCTTAGAGTCACAACACCCTTTATGTCTGCCCACACATAGGTCTTGAAAATGCATTTAGTCTGACGCAGATTCGAAGATATTGATATTGGCTGGCTGGGATTGATTTTTGCTTTTAAAGTTTGCCTCTTTTAATTATAACATCATTTGATCTCTCTGTTCTCTTTGATCCAGTTAGATTGATTTTACTAAATAATTATTATTTCAGTTCAAAATGGTCATAATTTTGCTGGTCTAATTACAAATGAACCACTAATGTATGTTTTTAAATAGTTGTTTTTTAATATGCAAATCCAATTCGTAATTCAAAACACAATAAATTCGTTAATACGCAAATCCAGATCATGAATTGAAAACACAATTCATGAATACACAAATTAAATTGGTAATTCAACACACAATTCTTAAATATGCAAATCCAATTCGTAAATACATAAATTTAATTTGTAAATTCAAAACTTAATTGTACATACAAAAATCTAATTTATTATTCAAAAAACTATTTTTAAACATGCAAATCCAATTCATAAATTGAAAACTTAACTCTTAAAATATGCAAATGCAATTCGTAAAATCAAAACGCAATTCATAAATACACAAATCCAATTCATAATTTAAAACACAACTCTTAAATTTGCAAGTTCAATTCGTGAATTGAAAACACAACTCATAATTACGCAAATTCAATTCGTAATAGAAAAAAATTCTTAAATATGCAAATCCAATTTGTAAAATCAAAACGCATTTCATAAATACACAGATCCAATTCATATTTCAAGGCACAATTCGTAAATACACAAATACAATTCGTAATTCAAAACACAACTCTTAAATATGCAAATACAATTCGTAAATTGAAAACACGATTCTTAAATATGCAAATCCAATTTTAAATACACAAAACCAATTCATAAATCCATAAATCTAATTCGTAAATTCAAAACATAATCGTAAATACAAAAATTCAAGTCGTAATTCAAAACACAATTCTTAAATATGCAAATCCAATTCGTAATTCAAAACACATTTAAATATGAAATTCTAATTCTGTTATAGTACAGTAAGGGATAAAGCATACCCTGGAGGTTGTTATTGCAGATTAAAGCCAGACAGGATTATCAGCAGCCTGACATAAAGCGGAGTAAGGCTCTAAAACTGAAGGGCTTAATTCTGTGTATCACATGGATGTATTCTATCTCGCTTATTATGTAGCTAATGTACAAATTAGACACAAAACATTGTTTCGAGTTGTAATAGTTTATAAAAAATTGAATTAAATGCAAAACTGACAGAAATGAAAAAGGCTGAATGGAGTATACACTAACCTATGTATTATTCAGTCACAAGATGGTACCAGATGAATTGAATAAGCTACATTGGCCGTAGTGTATGTGTGTGAATGCAAGAGTGTTTCCCAGTGTTGGGTTGCGGCTGGAAGGGCATCCGCTGCGTAAAACATATGCTAGATAAGTTGGGGGTTCATTCTGCTGTTTCATACCTTGATTAATAAAGGGACTAAGCTGAAAAGAGAATAAATGAATGTGTTATTAGTTTTAGCAATTGTTATCTGGGTATATCATACCTTGAAATGTCACATTGGACCAATCAGAATCAAGTATTTCAGGCAGCCGAGTTATAATAAAAGATATATACATATATGCACAGAAACAATTTGATATATTTGCTAGAGACAGTTCTGATTAGGGGGAAAAAACATTTGTACTGGTTTTCAAAGGCATAGTTCCCCCAAAAATAAACATAACAATTTCAGATTGTCTTAGTTTTCTTATTTCCACCCTATCCCCTCAAAATAAAACAAATTAAATTTATAATTTAAAAACAAAGATATCCTCAGAGAGAAAAAAATCTGTAAAATTTAAATAAAATAAAAAATTCAAAATATAGCAAGTTTACCAATAAAAGAGTAAAAAAAGATCCACTCAGATCTACGTCTGTAAAATCAGCATAAAGAATGACTAAAAATGGGGGAAAATTGGCATTTTTGAGCCTTTTAGCACTCTTTTTAGTATGTAATTCAGTTGTCTTAATTCAGAGCATAGAAAGAAAATTATAAACTTTATGGAGCCAGATAAGTCTCAAAAATAAAACATTTATAAATTAAAATTCCCACACAATTCACATTTACAAATTAAATTTGTAAATACAAAAATCTAATTTCTAAATAAAAAACACAATTCATAAATATGCAAATGCAATTTATAATTTAAAAGATAATTCATAAATTCAAAACACAATTCTTAAATACGCAAATCCAATTCGTAATTCAAAACACAATTCTTAAATACAAAAATCTAATTTATAAAATAAAAAAACACAATTCTTAAATATGCAAATCCAATTAATAAATTGAAAACACAATTCGTAAATACACAAATCCAATTCGCATTTCAAAACACAATTCTTAAATATGCAAATCTAATTTGTAATTCAAAAGACAATTCGTAAATACACAAATCCAATTCATTCATTCGTTCATTCAGTCCCTTTATTAATCTGGGGTCGCCACAGTGGAATGAACCGCCAACTTATCCAACATATGTTTTACGCAGCAGATGCCCTTCCAGCTGCAACCCATCTCTGGGAACAATCCATACACAATTTAGCCTACCCAATTCACCTTTGGACTGTGGGGGAAACCGAAGCACCCGAAGGAAACCCGCGCGAACGCGGGGAGAACATGCAAACTCCACACAGAAACGCCAACTGACCCAGCTGAGGCTCGAATCAGCGACTTTCTTGCTGTGAGGCGACAGCACAACCTACTGTGCCACCGCGTCGCCCACAAATCCAATTTGTAAATTGAAAATGTATTCGTAAATACACAAATCCAATTCATGAAATGAAAACAATTCTTCAAAATGCAAGTGCAATTCTTAATTCAAAACACAATTTGTAAATACACAAATCTAATTCGTACCTCAAAACCCAATTCTTTAATATGAAAATCTAATTCATAATTTAAAACAAAATTCGTAAATACACAAATCCAATTCATATATTGAAGACAACTTGTAAATACACTAATCCAATTTGTAGTTCACAACACAATTCTTGAATATGAAAATCCAATCCATAATTCAAAACACAATTCGTAAATACACAAAATCCTGATTGTAAATTAAAAACACTTTGTAAATACAAAAATTAAATTTGTAAATCAAAACACAATTCTAAAATATGCAAATCCAATTCGTAAAAACACAAATCTAATTTGTAATTCAAAACACAATCATAAATACAAAAATCCAGTTTGTAATTCAAAACACAATCTTTTAAATATGCAAATCCAAATTGTAAATTGAAAACTCATAAAAAAATTCATAAGTACACAAATACAATCCGTACATTGAAAACACAATTCATAAACATACAAATCCAATTCATAATTCAAATCCAATTTGTAAATACATAAATCTGATTCATAAATTCAAAACACAATTCGTCAATACACAAATCCAATTTGTAAATTTCATACACAATTTGTGAATACAAAAATGCAGTTCCTAATTCAAAACATAATTTTTTAATATGCAAATCCAATTAGTAAATTGAAAACACAATTCATAATCGTACAAATCCAATTCGTTATTCAAAACACAATTCGTAAATATCTAAATCTAATTTACAATATTTACGGTGTATTAGAGCTGATATCAACCGAACCGTGTAAGCCTTTTATATAGTCCAAAACAGGACTCCAGGTCTTGTAAAAAAGATTTGAGAGATCCTGCAAGCAAATGTCTTAACTTCTAAAGTTTTATGCAGCTAAAGATTTCTCGAACCCATGTGCTAGCTAGAGGTATTGCCTGTGTTCATTTGAGAAGAATGACTCGACTAGCTAAAAGAGTAGAAAAAGCAAAAACCTGGTGAGACGCAACTCTGAAGTCAACTTTCTCTGAAATGCCAAAAAGGCTGTCAAAGAGTTAGGGAATTGGTACATTTCTGAAAACGCACGGAAATCGTACAGTGTTTTTTGATGGAGGATGCTGATTTGACTTTTTCACACAAGATTTTTGTCTTAGGATTTTGTCTAACTTTTTAAATCATCTGAATTTTGATGTAGCACTATCAAACCTAATCCAATAAAGCTTGCTGTGTTTACCAATGGGAAAAGTCGTTTTTTTTATGTAATGCAGTGCACAGTGTACTCATAATAGCTAACTATCTTTAAAAGGGTGCAAGTGCACTAATGTTACTAAAGTGCTTTCGGATGTGCCACATTCACACAGAAGATGAAAAAGGCAGTCCATTACAACACAAAGGAGTTTGTGATGTCACAGATCAATGGTGTAGGATTGTGACTCACTCTGCTGTTTACACAAGCTGACGCACGTTTATTGTTTGTCTTCCATTTTTTTCTCCTCTCTTCATTTACATATGTTGGTCTCGGTGTGTTATCGTGCGCTGATTGTGTGACCAGGCATGCCAAGTTACTATTGACTTAAGGTTTCTGGTTGCCTGCGCAATTGTGAATTAGGATACCAAAGCAGGCATGATGAAGATGATTGAAAAACATGTGAATCATCTGACTTGTGAGAATGACAAAATCAGAAGTAAGTAGCGGCTCTTTGCACTTATTAAAAAATGATAACTAAACTTTGAACAGACGCTCTTGTG